TTCAAAACCCAACTCTCATGCCATTAGAAAGAGGATTATGAAAAACCTATAAAAAAATGATTCATGAAATTTTAGTTCACTCATAAAGCTAAAGTCCGCCTGCTCTAGCAAAAAATGCCCACTGCGAAAGGTCAACTTCGCTCTTCTTCCACTGATTTTGCTCACACACAGAAACTTTTTTTCTTTTTAGGTTTAATAAATAAATGATATTGGTACAATTAATGATCAGTAATTGCAAAACAAAAGTGGTAAAATATTGAATTTTATTAACCATTGTTGAACAGTCAAAAGCTATTGTCAGTTTTTCTACATGACACAAAGTAGAATAAATAAAACTAGTTAACGAGAGTAGAAATGAATTAAGTCAGCATACTATAGCAAATTTTCTAACCACAAATCTAGACTAGATATCAAAAAATCAAGCTCTATTAGTCTCAAGCCACGTGTGTCAACTTCAACTTAAGACCTTCCCGAGTTCTCTGCAATATTTTGTCATCGAGAAAGCTTGCAGCTATGAAATGGTGCTAAGGTAAAAGTCGTTTTAGGGCTTCCAGCAAAACTCTCATAATTCTTGATTACGAGGTCATTTAGAGCTGGAAGATATCTTATTTTGATCAGAAATATTTGCTTTACTTCATCGTATTATTGAAAATATTTTTGGATTTGCTTTTTTATCGGAAAGTAAAGCGTTTTCGAACAGTCAACAAACAGTCAGAAAACTTTTCTAAAAACCTTCATACCCCTTCGATGGCACTTTTTCCGAAAAAAACATTATTATATTTTTATAATTTTATTTTTCTGTTAAAACTATCAGTCTTCTTTTAATGTTAAAAAGCAGTTGTGATGGCTCTTGAGATTAATCCTCTTTTGTTTAGGATTCCTCTCTCCGGGATCTCTCGAAAAAGGCCCAATGAAACTTTCAGAGCAAATAGGTCTGGTCTGGAGTAGTAAGCAAAAACTGTGCTAGACTCATAATTTCAGCATACTTTCTTCTGAAAGATATTAGGGCTGCGAGGGCCAACAGGATCTGAAGTTTTCTCCTGAAAAATCGAAACTACATCCGTTACCACTGAAACGATTTTTGTAGCAATCACGATTTAATTAGAAAATAACCTGGTTCTCTCGAGCAAAAAATAAATCAAATTTTGAGACCACTCTGAAAAATGTCGGGTTTTTTGGATGGTGCTATTTTTGTAAAATCTACCAAAACTCATCAAAACTCTATTTATTAAAAAAAGAATATATGACGAGGTCTATAGTCTAGCACGTCAGACAAAAGAATTAGTGAGTATCTTCCTTCATGCACTGTTAATAAATTTTTGTCAGACTAACATTTGGGCTTGTTCTACCCATTTAGATTAAACAAAGAAAACAATTATCAAATTGACCCAAATGAGAATTTTTTGAAAGAAGTAGTAAGTTCTGCATAACGTTTGGAGTTATTCTAAACAAGTTCTGCTAGTAAACAAATCTTCTCTAGTTCTCTACTTCAAGCATTCCTTATAGTTAAAGACTAATGCTAATTTTGAATTTCCTCCCAAGCTAGAAGTTGTTCTTTAAAATTCTGCCTTCCACTTTCTTCAATGAATTGAGAATTTTGGTGAATGAATTCGTTTTTCAAATGCGTGTGCTTTGGATATGAGTCTGACTTAGCGAGAGTTTTTGTGTAAATCGTTTTTACAATACAATTTCGACAGATTTTATTTCTTTTTAACTCTCCATAATTTATCGGCGACAGTTCTAGGACACAAATTTTTTAAGCAGTTTTTGCTTTACAATCGTTTAGAATTTGAAAATCGAAATTTGCTTAAAATCGATGGACGACCAGCCGAATATGGTCGTCGTATTCTTGAAGTATTGTTCACGGCAGATGAATTAGCAACGCATTGTATGCCTCGTGTTCGTCGTTAAAAACCACGAGTTGATGATCCATCAGAATTGAACTATGATAAAATTGGAATTTTAAAGAGGAAGAGAATGTGTTTTCTCTCAATTAATAGGGCGTTCACTTCGAACTTCACCATACACAAACAGTCATTTTCAGCATCTAGAATATTTTGAGTAGTAGGTGGCAAGGATATAAGCAATCAATTTAAACTGTTGAAAATGGCGGTCAGCTACAGTTTTAGTTCGCTTGGTCTATGAGCAGAACACGAACGCTCATGTATTACAGAGTCGACCGCTTAGAAAATGTAATCAGAGATTCTGAAGTCTAAAATTAGGTTCAGGAGAGAAAACAAAACGCTCAGCAACATCCGGTTCTCATTTTCACACTTTTACTAACACACTAACTACGGACGCACCGAGACGGGGTATTCGATACCCGAAACTTTAGTCTCGAGTGTCGAAAGTCTCGATCTCGAATAGTCTCGATATAGAAGTGCCGATATCGAAACTTTCCAAGACTCGAGACGTCTCGAGACTGTTTTTTTTGTTTATATAGAAATTCTCTGGTGAATATGTAATGGACGTAATGTCGAAAGACATATTTTTTGGAGTAGATATTTTGTATGGTAACTTTTTTGATACTTTTAATCACTAGAAGTGAAAACTTCATGCAGCATATAAAGTTAGCTAACTAAGCGTTAATTATTTTAATTTCCCCAGAATAATTTAGTTAAAATGAAATGAAAGAGCATATCACTATCGTCGTAATTATTCGGACTAGTATAGAATTGTTGAGTATTTTACATAATAAAAAACACCGATTTCATATTGTATAGAAAATGCATTCGATTTTCTGAAATATAGATTTTGTAGAGCAGAGAATATCTTTAAGAGAACAATACAAGTTAGATCTTGCGGAGTTATTTTCAGTGCATTCAACTTTAGCCCAGTTTACGGCTATATGTAAAATGACACACACAGCTACTGCAGGAAAGTCTTCCTTCACCCATCTTATTAAAATCAGAAAAATTTCTGCAACACAAAACAGGTTGCTCGATTTTCTCAGCTAATGAGAAAATCTATACAAGTAATAAGGGTAGCTTTCAGTCACATCGAGGCTCGAGACTAAACTTTTCGGTATCGAAACTCTTGGAGACTACAGTGTCGAAGCTTGTCGAGACTTCCCGTCTTGGTGCATGCCTAACACTAACTGTATCATTACACTTTAGCTGCTACATAAAACATATTTTGTATCTCATCCAAAAAGTTTTCAACTTATTATGAAATGACATTGATAACATCATTTCGAAATAAACGCTGGAATTCAAAAAAGAAGACACGAACAAATGCGCTGGCAACTACAGCTGGCGGTAATCAAAATTAATTGATAACAGAGACTGCTTTAGAAAAAAATTAGGCTCAATCAAATTGTAAATTTGTTAATTTTTTTATTTCTGAGTGGAAACAACTCAAATTCTATATCTATGTGTTTAGTATTTTTACTGATTGCTGCATATTTTTTAACCAAGCTGACTATATTATTAATCCTGCACGTTCGTGTGGATTTATGATTAGGAAAACATTATGAAAATAAAGGTTTTATAAAATCGTACCGATTTATTCTTCCCTGCAGGCAAGTACAACATACTTATTAGAAGATGAATAGAGAAAATGGGATTTTTTCGATTATTCTTATATAATTTATCGAAACAACACTTTTTTTTTCGTTGGAAACCAGCTATCTTTTCTTGATTCTAGTCTTGATCTGTTTTTTTTCAAATAAGTTTTTATAATGTTAGTGAGTAGTCATGAAGTCACTCTTCGTACGACGTAAACTACCGTTTTAAAGTAGTGAAACACTCGATTATTATGGAAAAAATGGCCTCATAATGATCCACACCCGAATCTAGTGATAAAAAATTGATTAGAAAGTAGACCGTTTTCACACAGTGTCTTGATCATTTTGACATTTTGACACAACATTAGAGTTTATTGACAGTTTTAGGTAGTTGAAATACCACCTATTCCAGGTGGTAAAACCATATCATCCAAACCATCAAAATACCACCTAAAAACGGGCTGACCGACGTAAACTGCCCATTAATTGACAGTTAACTGGCAATTAACTTGGTGATTTTCAATGTCTTGGGTATGGAGGAGACGTGCACGAATAATGACCGGTGATCATTATTGTTGAGAGTACCATTGTTTTATTATTGGTCGCCATAACAGCGTCCAAAGAGGTCCTACGCGTCGTCTTTCAAGAAAGCCTCTCAAAATTGTTCTTTTTAAGAGAACAAAGTAGATAAATAAAAGTCTCGTTAAAATATATAATTACTGAAAATCTGGGCTCGTCGAGCGGTACCTCATATCTAGCAATCACTGCTATCTATGTTAGGTAAGAACGTCATATCTTGTATTAGTCGGTCCACTGATTAGTGTACAAGAATTAAACTTCGTATTTAAATGAATAATGTGAGATGACTCTTATAACGCTAATCAGGTAATTTATTCCTAAAACAAACAGGTTCATGCACGATGATAACAATGGGTCTTCAAAAGCCCTAACCATAATTTTGTTGAGCATAAGATTTCTTCATTTTTGTTGGACTCGAAGTGGTGAAACACAGATAAGTAGATCACAGAGAAGCACTTAATTATTTCTAATGAAAGGAATTGAAGAGTAATTGTATACCTACATTACTAACACTTTTCCTGATTGTTACCTGTCATTTTCCTTCTCAGGACATTCTGTTTGTACTGAAGAAAAATGCATGTATACATCAGAGCAAGCAATTAGAAATTTTGTTTTTTATTCTTGAATCTGAACAACGTGGTTACTATTTACAGATGTTTTTTTTATAGAAAAAAAGATTATTTCACTCATTCTGCTTACCTGAGAATAGGAGAAGATGGAAAGAGTTGAATGAAAACATTTGTAGTATATTTGACTTCTTTCTTATTATTTTAACATTTTCTACTATTATTTTTCTACTGTTGATTTTTTACATTTTTTTACTTATTTTGTTGTTGTTTTTTTTCGAAAGTTGAATTAGACAAGTAGAGAAAAACAGCACATCATATCATACCAACTTGTAACACTTATTCTCATCATGTCGTCCGAGATAATAACTGACTCTTTAAAGAAAATTAAGACAAATGGAAAATTTATTACAAAGGAAGAATTAACGTCGTTATTCGATAATATTGTGAAAGAACTTAATCAACAAAAAACAAGTAATGATAACAAATTTTCGATTGAAGATATAAAAGATATAGCCGTTACTTTGCACGATGTTGGCGATTATGAAAAATACAGTATTTCAGATTTATTAAATCATCAATTATTTGTTATATTACGTGATATATTGACATCTTTAATAATTAAATTGCAAAAAGATGAGAATTTTAATGAAAATGAAACGGTTGCATCTCGATATATAGGTGCCATATTTACCTGGTTAGTTTCAAGCGTGAATGATACAAATGTGGACATTTTCAAGACATTATTATTAAATAAAACGATGATTGAATCAATTGCACAATGTCTTGATAATATAGCTACATCTGGTAAACATTTAGATGATTTGAATATATTAGTTCTCAAATACATTGTCCAAGCATTATCCTCGTTTCAGCAAGCACAAAAGCAATTTCAGGACGATTTTACCTTGTCGGTAATATTAAACTCAGTTATAAAATGTGTTTGTTCAATATATTATTTAGACGTTTTTAAAGGCATTGTTGTTGAATTATTGAAACTAAATTCTAAACAAGAGTTTCTGTTAATTACATGTATTGAATATATTACTATTTATGATGGTGAACGAATAGAAGAAATAACTCTTACAATGTCGGAATCAATGTTTAATTATTATTTGAAAATATTTGAACAATTTATTCCATTAATTGATGAATGGAATAACGTAGTGATTAAAGCAATAACAAACGCTGCTGTCCTATTACAGTATATTTCAGCTGATGATTTACCAAAACTAAATTTTATATCACAACATGTACAATTACTCGACTACGCGATTACTATTTTAAACTCCACAAATTTTTTTATTCAAATAGATGTAAATAATGATATCGCCGACTTAATAGAATTTACGCTACTGTACATTTTCATGCTGACCCTAAATTCAATACTTCTAGAACATATTAAAGAAAAAAATTTGATTAGCGTATTTTTAAAATTTATCAAAGCAAATAATGAAAGTATACAATTTCATTCATATCGTCTATTAGCAACGATTATGAATGAAGATGGTATTAAGTCATTATCAAATCCAGCTAAAATTACAGAAATATTCATTAACTACATTGAAAGAAATATCGATAATGTGTTGAGAAAACTGAGACTACAGAATACTCTATTATCTTTGAAAAGTGAGTGAGTTTATATTAGTCAGATTCCTATGCGATATATTATTGCATTGTGCATAAAAATTATTTTCACCTTTTCAGGTCTTATACAACATAATTCAATAAAATCAGAATTTGTAAAACAGAACGGATTACCATTATTGATTCGTTGTGCGTCAGAGTCAAAATTTGATGCCATCAAAGTTCAACAACGTGCTCTCGAAATTCTTTTGGCATTAACGTTCAATGAACAAGCAGCTGTGATACTGAAAAATGACCAGATATTCATGAAACGATTGAAATCACCATTCAATGAACAAGGTGTTAAAAAAGCAGCTGAAGGGATCGTTTGGAGATTAGAAAAAGAAGCTCAACTAATCATACAGAACGAAAATCAACAAACATTCAACAAAAAAGAAGCTGCTCCTCTCGCTCATAAATATGACATTATGATCAGCTATTCACATTCAGACAAAGATTTATGTTATCAATTACAAGAACGTTTAGTTGCAGATAAATTTCGTGTTTGGTTGGATCGTGATAACTTGTATGGTTCACAAATGCAACAGATGGCTGATGCGATAGAAAATTCAGAATTCATTTTTATCTGTATGTCCGACACTTATAAACAAAGTGCCTATTGTCAGTCGGAAGCACATTATGCTTATGAACGTCGTTGTCAGCTAATACCATTAAAAATGATCGAAAAATATCAGCCAGACGGATGGCTCGGTCTAATTGTTAGTGGTAAAACGTATATTACCTTTTCAGCATCTGAATTTGATAAAGCATATCAAAAATTAATGGTAGAAATAAGTCATCATAGAAGTCAATCAGAACAAAATATTATTCATGGTCACGCTATCTCACATGGCAACAGTGATCATGTGACAGACACTTCTATTATTGCAGCAAGCGCTGAAAAAGTTCTGAGGTAAGTTTTTCATACCAGGCTTCATTTTCGAAAATTTTCATTTGAAAATTTCTCTAAAAGCAGCACGAATCAACTTGCTACAAGAAAATCTGAATATTGTTCTAAACCATATATCGAACAATGGTCAAAGCAAGATGTTTTAAATTTTCTGAATGATATGGAACTCCACAGTATGATTCCTCTATGCGACAAGATGGATGGTCGTCAGTTACATAAGTTCTACAAGAGTTGTGATTCGAACAATGATGTCATGTATCATTCTTTAAAAGCGGAATTACTCGATTTATATAAAAAAACATTACCATTTCAAGATTATCTTCGGTTTTTAGATGAATTAAAGAGATATGTTCCATCTACTACTGGAACACAAACAGTAGCTAGCATTATTTGCAACATGATGTAGTAAAAGGGAACTTTAATCCAGTAATATTCAAAATTCAGTACATTTTTGTCATATTAATAAATAGTCTTATGCTGTTTCCGTTGTTTTTGCTTTGTTTAGAGATTTACTTGATAGTCAGTATACACGGGTTCAGTTTCTATTTTCTTCTTAGCCTGAGTTTGGTAAGCTAAAATTCTTATTTTAAAGGTTTTATACTTTCATAGAAGTCCCGAAAAATTCTGTAACATGTATTGCACGAACGTGCTCGTAAACTCGATGTAACTTTACAATACAACGTCAAATATATTTTACTCCAATCAGTAAACAATATTTTTATCCAATAACAATGACGATTTGAGAAAAATGATTTGTGGTATTGAGTGAAAAGCACTTTCGGGATATGTTATAGCCATTTTAATTAAATTATTCACTTAAATAACTAATTCACGTCGACGATGAGGATAACATTCGTAGACAACAGCCATGTACCTTGAAAATGGTAGAAGAAACTCTTGAGGAGATAAGTTTCTCTCTTTCAGTTTACTGCACAGCTAAGTTCATGTGTTCGAATCTCTATTCGTACAAAAATTGATTTTGTATTTTTCGATAGTTTTAGCTTAGAATACTATAATGGAATATTTTCCCGCTTGTATTCTGACAGAATAAAGCTATACCAAGTTTCTCTTCATACCTGGATCACCATAGGGGAAATAAAACTATTGCACCACCCAGTGAAAAGAAGTGAGCGTGATTTCGCAAGCTCCTGCTGAAAAAATGAAACATTTTCACGCGGGAAGTGAACGTCTTCTGCGGGAAAAAAAGCACTTTTTCCACCGCATTCTGCAGAAATCTTTTGAAAACCTGAAGAATTCCGTTCGTTTCTTAGGGAAAATTTCTGCCGAGTTTAAGACATTCACGACGAAAAATCTCGGCAGAATTATTCTCTTTTCCCGATGTAGAAGATCAATAAATTCAGATTTTTGCTAAAAAATGCTTACTTCGTGCGAAACTTGGTTCAACACCTGGATTGAAATACGAGCCCAGTCCAAAATTAAGCTGAATTTTCCACTATTGAGTTTATCCTTCACATTTTTCCAGTTTGTAGAGTACATCTTGAAATGTGTATTCTAACGTTTCGGCTTACGATCACTAGCTGCCCGAGAAAATATTTACTTACTCTCAACATTTAGGCTGATTTCGAGAAAAAATGTATTTTTTAAAGTATTATATGTTCATGTAAAAAAATGCAAAGTAGTCTATGTTGCAGGCCATGAAATTCCCTACTACCGGAAGAGGGTTGGAGTTAGAGGTGGATTAGAGTTGAAAAATTTTGAGTGGAGTTGGAGCTGAAGTTGAATCGGAAATTTGAAAACTGAGTTGGAGTTGAAAGTCAGTGGAGTTGCTCAGCCCTGGTTAAAATTATTTCGAACTCATTCAAAAAAAATTAGTTAGTCTTAACAAATTTTAACTGCTAAATTGATGTAAATTAATTTACTACAAACGAGTTTAACTTAATTTGGCCTCTTAAATTGATGTAAAGTACTTTTTCATCTTTTTTTGGGTCAGAAATTAGTTTGAATTAATTTGAAAGTGTTTAAAAGTTCCAATGGGCGTTCATTCAACGAATTCTGATTCACCTTATTTACTTATTTCACAAATTTTAAGTAATGTTGATCGTGGGAAAAAGTTCATTTACATCTTTGACTGGTTCCGGATCTTATTTAAATATTCACTTGAGAAACAAGAATGTAGAATCATTTTTTGAAATGTTGATGCATATAACCCAAGTAAAAAATCTTGACTGCAGATCTTGATAAAAACTTGAAAGATTTCGGAAGTTTCTGTTCAGTTCTTTCAAGATCTTATGCAGATTTATCGATATCTGTCAAGATTCTGAGATCATCT